CCAACCCACCCACCCACCCCAGAGCTTTCCATGCAGGATAAATGCATATATTACATAGCACTCTAGACACAAAGCTTTCACTGAAAAACAGACCTACAATGTTCAACTTACTTCACTGACCAAAAAAGCCTGTCTCTGTTACATCCTGTTATGTATACAAAAATTAAACTGCTACCTTAGTTGAGGAATGGGAGCACAATTCAGACATTCTAGAAAATGCTGGAAGAATGCCATAAATAAATGATTAATAGATAAATAATACTCATCGGGAATCCAGCAGCAAAACAGAAGGTAAATAATATTTTGTCATTGCCAAATTAAAATAATTTAAAAGGTAGGTCAACTTTTAATTTATGCAAGAAAAATCATATCCCAGAACGTAACACAAAGAGAGACAAACTGATTTTACTGAAGATATGAAATATATCTCATAAGGAATAGAATGAACACAGTAAAAAAAAAAAAAAAAAAATCAAATACCTTGGTCTTTCTGCAATATTGCTAGGCACATGGCAGATGCATGGGTCCAAGAGTTCACAGCTTTTTTACCTCAGCTTAACTCTAACTTTCAGAATGTATATTGGCCAAAGGCCTATGCAGCCTGCTCTATTTGCATGAATGAATACTGGATAGAATTGTATCATCTATGGAAGTTTGCCCCTGAAGTCCATATTATTCACCATTTTCCATTTGCTGTGATAAAATGTTTCTTGTTCTTCTCAGGTGACCTGCACTACCATCAAAAAAATGCACACAAACCACACTGTATTAAAATAAATAAATTAAAGCTATCCCATCACATTTAAGGGCTAGAAAACATAGCATACTGTACATTAGGTTAATGAAAATGGGGGCCAAATTAGTGAGCAAGACAACACAGAACACTTGTTGCACACATATTTCTTCTCTTATCCTGACCAGTCTTCTCTGTGTAAAATCCATTTACTCATTTTTCTACTTCTGTGATCTGGACCAGGTTCCATCAGCCCTTGATAGTGATGAACAAATCTACCAGTTTCCTGGCTGTACTTTGTTCAACTTTTAAGTTCAACAGCAAACAGTCTGAGTAGCAAAATGGGCCCAAGACATAATGCTTGGATTTGAACTGATATAAAAAAAATTATAGTGATATTTGCATTTCACTTTCAGTCATGTGCCCATCTTTGTTCAGGAACCACATTCAGGAACAAAACTCTTCCTCCTACAAAGTGATTGCTTTTGTACTGTATATATTTCTGCTTTTATAGTTAAAATTCTTTCCACAATCTTTGCCATCATGGTATCCTGAACTTTCCCTGATATTACTCACTGGTGTTCAAAGATTAACTGACAGAGAAGGCGTGAAGGAAGTTCAGGACAGCTGGCAAAGCAGAGGTCTCTGAGACTGCCTGTTTGACAACACTGTCTGAAATGACTCAGTTTTTGAGGAGATGAGAAAACAAGCCTGGATTTCTGCTAATTCTTTTAGAAACAAGATGAAGGTTTGTTTGTTTTTGCCTTGCATCTTCATTGCCTTTTCTAGAAGTAGTAGGACGGAGAGACATGCAACCCTTTCAAGCCAGCACTTAAGAGAGGCAACAGTTAGTATGTTTCAACTTTATTAAAAAAAAAGTTTATTCAAAGCTTTGCACTGGACAAAAAACACCTCCCCCCAAAAACAGAGAAATTCAACACAGCAAGCTCTATGCATTTTATATATGCAGCTTTTTTTGCATGTTTGCATTCATTATTTTACAAAGTTAACATTCAGTAGAAAAAGTTGCTGTTTGTTACCATTATTTTCCCATATAAATAACTGTGGGCAATCCCTCTGCAGATAGATAAAAAACACCTTTTTGTGTCATTCTGTAAAAAACAGACATTACTGAAATGGTACTGAAATCCGTAACATCCCCCAACACCACCATAAAAATGTCATTTAACTCTCTGCCCAAAATGCTTGTCCAAGGCATTAGAGAAGAGGCCATAAGACATTGCTGGAAAGTTTATCTTCTGTTCAAGCTAACAATCTGGTAAATTATCTTTTGTCAGGCTTAACGAGTGAAATGAGCACAAGATGGAGGCCAAACTGCCCACACTAGAAACCTGATTTCCTGGTTAGCTGTCACAGCCAAGTTTGGATGTTCTGTGACCAGGCCAGAAAGCTGAAACATTCATCCACTTTTCCTCCAGAAGGCATAGAAAATTCTTGATGCCACGATAAACTTCTGCTGGCTCAGCAACTTCCTCCCAATCCACTCACTTTAATTGGAAGTGGTAGAAATGTTGAGCAGTGGATAGCTCATGATATACATCTAGAGACCAGACTTCAAATTCCCTGGAGGAAAAATTAACAAGGGGAAAATGCTAGAAGACAGCTAGAGAAAAGTGCAAGTCCCTGTGGAGGAGCCACTGTGTTGGCTCCCAAGCACATGGTTTGGAGAAGTAGAAGCAGAGAGGCAAGTTGCAGCTTACAACACTGCTGTTTTCTGGAGTTTAAGGGTGACAATGTGGTCCAGATGAGCTTACTGGCTGGAAATCAATCATTCTTTCTGTCAAGCACCATGATAAAAAGAATGGTGAGGATTTTGAAGGCAATACCGGAGGCGGTGGTGGCAATGAAGATAATGGAGGTGAAGGATACAATGCTGATGAAAATTAAATGGAAGGTAATGCCAACAGTAAGATGGCAGTAATGCTGGCAACAAGAAGGCTGCTTATATGGTTGGCGTTGGCGATGACCACAATTCATTCATATGTCCATATAGTCATCATCTTCATCAGTGTCACTCTCCAGTGAAGACTCTTGACTTGAGGTCTCTAAGATCTCCAAAGCTGGCTGACAAAGGCTTTCCTTCTTTACATTTGCTGCAGACTGAGCAGACAAAATAGCGGACTGATCACCCCCGCCACAAAAAAAGAGAGAGAGAGAGATTGCTGAATATTTAGGAAAAACTGATCAGAGGGTTCAAAATCAACTATCTGGTCCTCAACATTCAGAAGTCCTCTTATTTGTATAACATTCATGCAAATTTGTTCCATTATACCTTTCACTAAGTTTCCCTATAGCCAGCACTCATTACTCTGCAGCTGGGGTTCTCAATCCCTGGGCCATGGCGGGTTGGCTAACTGTCTGCAGTATGGCTGGCTGCCAGCTGTGGCTCCTTCCGCAGGGCCCATGGTAGTGCAGGGTTTGGCCCACCCCACCACTTGGGGGATGGCGTTATACTTACCTGTTTTCCAGCCAGAAATTCTGGCCACGGTTGGCTATGACTGCTGGGCCGCGGTTTGCTGGGCTGTGGCATAAAAACTTAGGGAAGCCCTGCTCTAGAGCAAGACGGCTTAGAACAGATGTTCTATTCCTCCCTGTGACTATTTTGTTCTGTTGCTTTCCAGGAATCTTAGTAGTCCTGCAAAAGCTACAAACTCCTCAAGGCACCAGGACTGTGACAGCTGTATGCTCACTCCCAAAAAACTTTTTGTGCAATTCTTGTAAGGGAAGCTAGGATTGTATCTCCTGTCATGAGCCGAGGTCTGAAGTCATTGTTCCAGTAACATAATTTTCTGTTAAAGGAGGCAGAACTTAAGTTAAACATCAACATTTTTAAAGATTTAGTTCTAAAATTACCTTTAATTTTTGTTTGGTTTCTTCTGAGATGCTGCCCTTTGGAGAAAGGAGGGTGGGAGTTGGTGGAGTGACAGTAATCTCAGGTGGAAATTTGGTAATGGATGAAGGAATGAAAAGCTTTGGCATGTTGGGCAGAATGCGGGTTTTTACTCGGGTGCTGTCTGCCTTGTTCTGCTGGCTTCCCAAGGACTGTGAACTGGAGCCGAGCTCCAGCTTGGAACTGGTGGCTGAGGGAAAAAGAATCAAGAATAACATTTTAGGGATTATCCAAGTTTATATATACCACAGGGTAGGAAACCACAGTAATTTGGTATACTGCTTGCTGAAAAGATCCTTTTGCTAAATACAGCAATTTTCTTATCAAGGCTCAGAAACAGAAGTAACAAGGGGAGAGTGGTAGGAGAGCAAGCAAGCAGTGACACTTCCAGGAGGTCAACAGCTCCAACTTTCTATGGCAAATAGGTCATTTGACAATGCAATCTTGTCTCAGATATACCTGTGGAATGCTGCTGCAACAGTTAATTTCTTAGCCTATAGTTTTGACCTGGTCACCTTTCTTTGTAATTGTCTACTGGTTCCACCTTCACTATTACAGAGAATATAATATACTTTCCTTCATGTTCCAGCTTCTTCACATCTTCTCTCTACCCAACAGGTTATACCTTATTCACTGTCAAGGTGCTGACTCCCATTTTCAGTCAACCCACAATACCAACCTCTATTATTCACAGGTTAAACTATCTAACAAACTCTGAACTTTCTTCCGCATTGTCACTTGCACTTAAGCTAGGTTGATAGATATTTACAGGGAGCTCTTATTATCTTCCTTCAAATCCCTCCTTAAAACTGTTTCTTGATGCCTACAAAAAATATCCAACAGGTTTCCAGCACTGCTGATCAAGCTGCCCATTCTATTCCATTGTCTCTCTGTACTCCCATGCCTGACAGTCTATCTGCTGTTCCTTGTCTTATACTTAGATTGTAAGCTCTTTAAGAAATGGATGGCATTTTTGTTCTATGTTTGAACAGGATGTAGCACCATGAGGGCCTGATCCATAATTAGAACTAAGCACAACTGCAATACAAGTAAATAATAATTCTGCAATACTGAACTGTACAAGAAGTCATCTCTAGCTGCCACTGTATAGAACCATAACTAACGCCCTGCTCCCACGCCAAAAAAATCAAGTTATATAAAGTAGCTGCACCCTGCCAGCCCTTCTAAGACGATGACAAAGAGGGATGTTTCCATCTTCTCTTCAAGCTTAACGCTTACAGTTTTAGACACTTCTAAGAGGCTGGGCTGAAACCTATGTGCTCTTAATACAAGAGAGCAACACAAAAACTGACATTCTGGGTCACATGCCAGGTCCTATTAAGGCATATTGCCATATTTCCAAGTTGGCTAACCACTTCACAGAAACATGTAAAAAATACTGCAGTAGGTAGATGCAAGATAATCTAAGTCCTCAGTAGGCTTCAGCTTTATTTCTACTGTTGCAACACCTAGAAGCCCTAATTATGTATAAGGGCCTTGTGGACTAAGTAACATACAAACACAAAACAAGATGACACACCTTACTCCAATCCACAGTAGCTAACAATCGGTTTAAGCCCTGCAACCAAGGCTTTACATTTCTTCCAAACCTCTTTTTTTCAAGGCATTAACTGTTAAAACTCAGGATCTTTTTGTTTACCATATAAAAGTGTCTTCTCTGAAGCTTACTGAAAACATTTTTACCAGCCAGTTACTCCAGCAATATGCTTAAAGAGTAGACCCATGGAAAAAAAAACGCTAACAAGTTACTCATTTTGTTTTCAAATATATCTGGGACAAAGAAAGAATCCCCTATTAGTGGAAGGCCTAAGCGCTCACTTATGTGTAATAACTGCTCTGAAGAAGGAATGCTGCAGACCTTAGTTGACCTCAGTAAACTCTTAATTAAAAAAAAAAAATCTTTAAAGAGCAAAAACTACACAGAGCAAGACCCAGGTACTACAGTGTTTTTTTGTTTGGCTATGCTGCTATGGATATTTAGTATGTGAGTCATATACCAAAGAGAATTATTATTGAGGGACTACGAGGCACTTCTCCAGGAAGCTGAGATATTGCCATGAATGCTTGTAAACTCTGGAACAGTTGACTGAAAGGCAGAGAGAAGGCTGGGAAAAAAATATCATATACTAGAGCACAGTGCCTACAGATGAATGTGTTGCCCATTAAACTAACAGTTTCAGCACTGAAACTCGTACATAGATTTTTTTTGAGCTTCTAGAGGATCATGAACCATTCTTACCCTGGGTACAGACATGTCCTGAACTTGTGCTGGTCATGGATTCTGCTTGCCAGCAAGCAGGTTCAGATGATGGAGCAACTGTAGCCATTTTCATTTGTTGGCAAAGTCGAGACTCTTGCTGCTGAAATCCAAGCCCTTCTAGCTCTTCTTCCTCTTCATTAACAAAAAGGAAAAAAAAACTAAGTCACATATTAGAGACATTTTGATCCATTTTGCAACTCATTTCTTTTATGCATTTCTCACAACTGATGGGCATTTACATCATTGACCTACCTATGCATTTAAACTGAAATGTAACTAACTGAAATAAAAAACAGGCAATTTAAAAGGCATTTCAATGCCTGGTGGCATCAACCTAAACTCCAGTTTCCTTGAAGCATTTTATAAAATTGCATACAACATTCTAACACAAAATCTATTTCTCTTCTTTTTTTAATTAATGATGTAAAGTCACAAGGATGTGCCAAGTATAAATGTCTGAACGTATGCAATTGACCATGAGCTTCCAGATGCGTGGAAGCAGGTATAGTCTTCATAAGCACCATCACACAATGCCAAACCAGAATAAATTTACTGGTACTGTACAGAACTACAGTTCTGATCCAAGATATCAGCATTTGGATTATGGGCAAATAACAGGGAAATGTCTATATAGGTATGTACTGTATTACAAATGGTCTTTAAAAGTGAGCACCAAGAAACAACAGCAAATTTGGTTTGGCGTAACTAACTCTGAGACAAAAGTGTGTTCAGCCTTCAGTGGCAAGTCTACCTACGTTTACCAATGCATTTTTTAAATTCTGATATTTCTGCATTCTGACATATGAGTCTAAATGTTTACAACTCAGATCTTCATGCTGTGTTTGTACACTCTTTCTTAGTTCACTTTCCGTTAGAAGTATATTTTATTAAATGCTCTAATAAACAGTTGTCTTCCACACAGAGCTGCAAATTGTACCTGAGATACAAATTTTTACTGACAAAAAAAATCCTAATGATCCCAAAGATGTTCTGGAAAGTGTAGGCTGAAACAGGCCTGAAACAGTTGTAATCTTTTTCCGATTCACTATTTAATAATAAAGCTTACTACAAGTGTTATCTTGATTATCTGACCAACTTCCCAAAAAAGAATATTTATGACAATTTCTCCCAACCTAAAAAAATGACTTTTCTCTTGAAATGATGAAAAACATTTTTCCATCTGCACCTGATACAATCAAGACCTGATGATTTGTCATACAAATATCTCACTGTCTGATTTCTGCTTTTCCACCAGAATTTTGAAAACAGTATGGATGAACAACTTGACAACTCTATTAAAAGGAACAAATGGTCCAGCATTCTTTTCCTTTTGTCCAACACTGTAAGGCCTCACATGGATTCGTGTCCAGTCTTGGACAAAGCACTTCAAGGAATATGAGGAAAGAGTTGGAGAGAGTCCAGGGCGAAAACAAGAAAAGTGATTTGGAGGCCTAGAAAACAACACACAAGAAAAGGTTGGAAGAGCTAGGAATATTTAAGCATGGAAAAGAGAAGACTAAAGTGGCGGGGCGGGGCGGGGATTCGATAAAAGTTTTTAGACAAAGAGTTGTTATATATAGACCCATGATTCGATATTGTCTGCATATACAGTGGACACAAGCAGTAATGATCTTAAAAGGCAACAAGGGAGATTCATAAAGTTCTTCCTAAAAATCTCATCTAACTATGATGGTGGCTACACACTGGAACAAACAGATTACTAGAGAAAGGTTGGGGAATTTCCATAATTACAAGTTTAAGTGCATATTAGAAAGATGCTCGACTTGAATGGCTTAGATAAGGATCTTCTTATTTTAGGCAAGGGATCGGACTTGATGATCTCCTGGGGTGCCTTCCAGCCCTATGCAATTATGATGCTACACGTTAAAGAGAAATATAAAATTACTAAACTTCTTAACTGGATTCCCTCTAAACAAGCAAGCTGTAAATCCTGTAATCTATATTAAATTGCAGCCTAGGAAGAGTTTGAAAGTGGTTGGTTGCTGAGCCATAGTAGGGGCTTAAATATTTCAGTAACCAATTTAAAGTTTACCATTCATTTACATTAAGACTTATGATTTGAATTATTGCTTAATGATAAAGTAAGTATACATTTTACACTGATTTTTTTTGGTTTGATTATAAGGTGTATCACTGCTTGAACTGATTTGCTCTGTTTTGATTCTAAGTACGTTATATCATGTGACCCCACTGATTGGTTCTTCTAAGCAATCAAAGTCTAGCCTAATGCTGCAAGCTTGATGTACAGCTATGTTTTTATCTTCAGTAATCAGCAGATCCACACACATCACTGCTTTCTTTGCTTTTGATTTTATTAGTCTTGCAGATCCATTTCATAGAACAATGCAGTTTTATTTGAATGAAAATTAGATGCATCAGTTTCTTTCACTTTTAAAGGAAAATAGGTGAGAACGCATACTTCTGAATTTTTATTCCTATGCTTCTGGAAACAGTATTTGTTAATGTAAAATTGTACTGAAAGCCCCTGCCTATCAAAATGAAGAGGCATGGTCAGGTTAATCAATCAGTAATTCTACTCCCAGAGGCGTTAAGTGCGTAGTGATTGAATTCTGCCCCGGATTAGCTCAAACTCTTAATCTGCCTGCAATTTTTATGCTATGGTCATTTGAGATCCACATGTTTTTTTTCAGTTCAAAAACAGTTTATGAAAAAAAGGTTAAAATTTTCTCTTAAATATAAAGTTACCCTGTGGTCCCAGCACATCCAGGGTTAGTCATAAATTTATCTATCAATTTCCCTACCTGACCTTGTACTAGCTGATATTTTATTTAATATAAAGGTACTTAAGTCTTTAAATCTTTTTTCTTTACACAGACAGAAAAAGCAAGACAGGATAAACAGAGAGCCACACATGCATACAAAGTTAAATTTTATACTATTTGTCTAAAGTAGATTTCAGAAGGAAATATCCTGATATGTCGTGTTTGTGGAATTACAGTCTAGATGAACATCATGTCCTAGTTCTGTTAATAACTTCCCCCAGGGAGGCAAAAACTGTACTAAACTCATGAGCCACAAAATTCTGTATCAGCCCAACAGCACAAGGAAACAGGCACAGCACATTCTGAATGTGGTCAGAAGCTCATCTTTTAGTCTTGGACAGCCACATCTTTCTCTATTGCATAGCACTCGTATCAGTCTCATACAGTTTCAAATGTTAGCATCACAAACCTTGCTGAAAAATAAAGTCAGTTTCTGAAGACATTAATGAGATGCACCAGCTGCTCGTCTCCAGGCAGAAGATGGGACAGGGTACTTTAAAGATTTATTTAGCACTCAAAACCTAAAGTGTAACTCACAGACGTTAAGCACAAAAGGAAAATAGATTTGCAATGCAAAAAACTGTTAATATTTACACTGAAAAGTTCATCTCTATTTGAGCAAAATGGAGCCGAATATAAAAAATTAGCTCCCCCCCTTCCCAACAACTCTCTAATATGCATAACATAATATACATAATAGAAGAGGCACATCATACCTTTCAACATCTCCCTGCTTTAGTGAGGAAGAAACAAGCTGAAAACAATTCAATGCAACAACTACTCCAGCTTTCCTCTCCAACCTCTTTCCACTTGTTGCCAGGGTAACCAGTGTTTGCAGATGCCTATAGCGGGCGCCTGAGTTCATGACTTCATCATAGTTAATATTCTCTCTCACCGTCTCTCTTTATGCAGGGAATACATTAGATACATACACCACACATTGTACACGTATAGATTATACAATTCCTGTGAGTATTTTTCTACAAAATCACAAGTTACTTTGCTATTTCTCATGTATACAATGGAAAAAAAATGGATTTTTCCCCCTCTCCATTTCACTGATGTGCAGAAAGTTTAAAAACAGTGGAACTGTAAGTAATAAACCCATGCTCTTTGTGCCGAGTACTCTCTCATTTGATTTGTTTGTGCTGTGCATTATGTCACTTGATTTCCTTGCACTGTCAGGTATTGAAACACCAGCATTATCATGTTAATTAAATGTGTTAATCAGAATTAAACACACAGCTTCAGTCATTTACAAAAACCGACAAATGCTAACTGAATAGGGAAAAAAAAGGATAGTATGACTAGCACCTTGAACACATGCCTTCCAGCTGCTGAAGGTGGCAACTAGATGTGGTAATATGCACAAAGGCAGATTAAAGACTTAAAGAGCAGAAGCATCTCATCCTAGGAAAGACTGACGAGCCAAATTCTTAACAGAAACCTAAGAAACTAAAAAACACTGTACTTTAAAAAAAACAGAAAAAAAAAGGGAAGATTGGGAAATTGAAGTGTCCAGCAGCTTCAATTTGTTAAACAGGCAATCCGAAAGAAAAAGAAACACTAGACATATTGTCAAAGGAAATATAATACTACAACATAAAAGCTGTGAAACACTTCAATATATTTTAGAAATAGCAATGACTTAATTTTGCAACTCTTAATTGTTTGATAGTACTTATACCATTTGTCCCAGTGATTTCAATTAGTTACTTAAATAGAAGCGTTATTCTGCATAAGCAATAATCAAAAGAAATGTGAAGCATTAATCAATTCACCATGAAAGGTAGGCAAGTATTTCTGGGTGTCTATAGACATGCTCTGACATGTTTCAACTGGAACCTGTCACAGCAGATCAATTGGATCAATTGGATCTGCTCCACATTCTCATCAAAACGCGCCAGTGTAGCCACATCATCACGTCTTAAGCCCGCCCCACTTTTCAAAATGGCTGCAAGAGCACTTTAACTAAAGCTTAAGGTTTAGTTAAAGTGCCCCCTGTCCATTTTGAAATGCAGGGGCTTAATGAATGTGATAGTGAGCTGTTTTAAATTAGAGCAGCTGGCTGGGAACTGTTCTAACTAACCCCCCCACGCAAACATGTGTACTGGCAGCCACTGTCCCTACTTTTTTGATGGAGACTGACATGGGGCCAAATCTGCTCTCTGCTACATGGGAATAAGCAGAATAACAGATATATTTTGTCTGTTAAAACTTTTTGAGTTCTTATTTTACGTATTTTTGAAAAATAAAAGCATTGTAATTCAGTCCCCAGGATTTAAAACAACAACAACCAATTAAAGTGGTTTGCTAATTCATAGTGGT